AGTGTTTGATTCTGTTACTTTGGGCTCTCCGTTTTCCAGCGCTTTCTGTCACAGCCAGTGGTTTTAAGATAGGACGTTAATCACGATTACATTTAAGCAATTCAATTTCAATTTAATAGCAAAATGTATTTAAACACTTTACATAAATGTTATATATATATAAATAAAGGCGGGATTTCTAGTAAGTCTTGTCAAATTCTGAATCGAATGTATATCTAATTTTTATTAAATATCGACTGTTGTTGACTAAAACGGTAATTGATTTATCTTAAACCGATATTAACGTTTAAAATCTTTTAACCTATATCAAATTAAAGATTTCAAAACATACAATATGATTAAAAAAAGAGAATAGGAACCAATTGATAGTGCATTAAGGAAAATCGGCGGACAAAGAGAAAAAATACGAATTTTTTGTAATTCTGTTCTGTTATTATTTTTTCGTGTCAATATTATTTACCTTGTTAGAGTTAAGTTTTTCACCCAAATTTCTACAAGTTCCAACTTATTTTTTTTTAATGTATTTTTTTATGTGCTGGTGACAATGAGTGATTCAGTTTGAAAAGTAACGATCGAACCACCTTTCTTGTACATTTATGAAAACTAATTATCACATTATAGTGTTTTTAATTTTTTTTTCTTATAAAGAGTTAACTTATGTTGTTAAAGTCTAACATAATCAAAACATTAATCTCAAAAACAGATATATATATATAATTATTTGACCAGTTTTTTTCATGAATAACAACAAAAATAATATAAAAAAAAACGCATTGAAGTTAAATAATACATATACAGAGTGTTTATTAAGTATGGAACAGGTCAATTGTTACAAACAATAGAAACCCATTTACTTTCTTAATAAACACCTTATATAAAATGAACAACAATAAAAATGATAAGAACAATTTGATAAAAATCCAAATCGTCAGTATAGTTCCAATTTCGGACCACTCACTATCTCTCCGATGATGAGTTCTAAAACCAATGATTTATAAATATAAAAGAATTCTGAATAAATTAAATAGATAAATTAACATATTGATAAATGGAAAATTTACAAATTTAATGTCAATTTTATAAGTATATATAAAAAAAAGGTTGGTCTTATCGAAAAAAAAGTTCCAGCTACCAATGGCTTATGATAAATTACAATTACAATTTTATGACTAAAATAATAATTAACTAACAAAGATGGAATAATCGAATAAAAAACTTTTTTTTTGATAAAATATACTTACATTTTTTATACATTTTTGAAATATAAAACTACTTCATAACTTTTTATAATTTATCCGTAAAAATTACAATAATAAATTATTTAATATCGATTTCATAGTAAATTTCATTATTATTAAAACTATTTATTTATATATTATACTTATAAATCATAAAACAGAATTAATGTTGCTTTTGGGCTAATTCAATAATTTGTCAAAATATTAAACACTACAGATTTGCATTGATGTGCTTTTATGATGGTGATTTAATAACAGGCAGATATCATTTACACTTATCCTAACTATGTCTCATCCACAACACAGTAGGTTTAAATATATTTTGATTTTAACGGTGAATATATGTTTTTTAACAAATTAAAAACATGTTCCTGATAATTCAGTAAATAATTACTGTATTTAGTGTAGTAAATAGCTGAGGAAGTATTGAATTACTTCGATTTTAGTATAATATAAGCTTTACAACAGTAGTAAGCAATTTTTGAACTCTTAAGCAATATAATAATTCATATAAAAAGGAAATGCAGGGTAAGCAAATTAATAATAGCGGGAAAAAGAATATAAAAGGGACACGTGAAAAGTATAGGGCGACTGGAATTTTTGACGAAGAAACGTCGAGTTACGGGTCAGGAAGTTGGACGCGAGTAACTTTGTACGATTTAATTTTGTTTTGTGTTACATTTTGATATTACCTTTTTGACTTTGTGTTTAATACCGTTTCTTAAATAAAATAGCTATTTAAAAACCTGGACTTAACGTAAATAATTTATATTCATCGTGCTCTTAAAATTGTGTGTGTGTGTGTGCGGTTAGAGTCAAGGTTGGACTGCTAGTCCTTTAGTCAATCTTAATAATTACTGTGCTAGCTGGCTAGTTTTTGGGCTTCGCCGTCCTTTAGTAGGTATAGTGAAAAGATAGTTGTGCTGGTGGCTGACAAGGAGCCACCCTTTGGTCTGCTACTTTTGAGCTAAACTGTGCTGACGGTTCCAAATACTACCTCTTCAGTAGTTCACTAATTTGAGGGATTAGAGCTGACCTGTGTATCCAACGGGGGGACCCGGGAAGAGCTTGAAACGACGAACTTGTCGTCATATATATCAAAAAACATTAATTAATTTGTGTAAAACTTTTGTGTCTACGTCGGGGCACTACCGACGTACGACATTAGTTTATCAGTATTACTCATTTATGTTAAATATTAAAAAAAAAATTACTAAGAAAACATTTTTACATGTTAATTAATTATATTTATTTTGAGGGAAGTCGAAATAATTAAATTAATAGTTGTTAGAAAAATAATTTTAGTAATAATGATTATTAGACGTTTTTTTAATTAATTTTAATGTAAAATTAAATAGATCGAAAATGAATATATCACTAATAAACTCATTTTAAATAAATTTTTAGCATTTTTTCATTAAAATTATTTCATAAGTCAGGTAAATATATATTCTGTCTCTAAAGATACAACATTTGACAACCTTATAGGATACAAATGGATGTAAACATTTTTATCATTAACACTTTCAACCTATTATATTATTTTTTATAAAACAAATATGGTTGAACACGGCTATACACTATACCCTGTATAACTATTCTGTTAACCACTACTGACCTAAAGTATAAACATTAATAATTGAAAAATATCAGCACAATGGTATCGCGATATAGTGAAATGTGGAATAGTTATTCTTATAGATAGTAATTAACAACATTATCATAATAAACGCACCGATACTAATCTATTAAATTTCACAATTTCTGTTTTTAATATTTCACTAATATATTAAATAAATGTTAAATTATTTGTTTATTTGAAATTAAGTATTTTTACTTTAACAGCCCATTTATTTTTACATGCATAGTAGGTGATCTTCTTCAAATCCTTTCTGTACTTAGATTTCTCATTGGAGTTGTTTATAAATAAATACTTATAAGTAGTGCTAATAAACTCTTATTTACGAGAAACTAAGGATATTTTTAAAAATTTTAAAGCTATTATACTCAAATAGATAAAATGAGTAAACTTTTAATGTATTGATTGTTCATTAAGAATAATCGGTGCGTTGAGAGTTGAGAAAAATTGGTGACTGACACCTAATAGAAAAATTGGTACATTTTCAGCTTCGAATTGAAGCTAAAATATATTTTATATGGTAAAAAGAAATGAATTAAAAAAGTATTTAATAATTAAAAAATCAATATGTACTATAAGAGCTAAAAACTACGCATGAAAATTTTTATTGACCCATCCACATATTTTATAAAAACTAGTTATAAAAAGAGAAAATAACTCTTTTAATATTTAAAAAAAGAAAAAATTAAATTTCAATTTGTTTTTTATTAGAGATAAATAATAAAAATATACTTTTACTATATTATAAAACTGTAAAAAATATTTAAAAGTATTGTATTTCAATGGATCAAAAGTTATTAGGTTTGTCAAAAAAATTGTGTCAAAACATATTAAACTTGTCTATATATATATATATTAGGGTTGACCAAAAAAAGTCGATCTTCGAAATTTTAATGAGTACCATTTTAACTTTATTTTATACATTAAAATAGGAATTTTCTGAAGATTTAGAATTTGTAAAATAATTTCTATTGATCGCTCAACGTGTTATTAGTATTTTAACCAAAAACAACCCAAAAAATAAAATACTGCCTCTGTTATTCAATTTTTGGTCATATAGTATGATTAGTATATCATCAAAATAGTTTGAATTTTACTATAGAATACAATTTTTTAGTTTCAAAATTTTAAGGCAAAACTTGATAGAGTGTATATCATATTTAACGTCATTATATGGTATATTTCTAGTAGGTATTTCATACAGGTTGATTGTAATTTATATACTGGGTGGCCCAGCACTCACTGACAACTTAAATAACTTTTGATCCAGTTAATATTTTTAGTTGATTTTTTTTTTTAAATAATATTTATACGTTAGGTCTATAGCTATATATCAATAATTAATTTTTTACATTTTATTAAAAATATTAATTATTTTTAAATTTTAAATAAAATGTAAAAAAAAAATCTAAGATAGCTATTTTGTAGAGTAGAATTTAAGAAAAATTTTAATAAAAATATATCTTATTAATATTCATTAGTAAATATTCTGTAGTATTTTAAAGTTTGTGAAAATTTGAATTTTCATGTATTATTTTACGGTATTAAACATTGAAATACGTATTGAGAAAAGGACAGAAGAAAACGCTATCTTTTCATGATTACTGTGTATACATATGATGATAATGTGTATACANAATATAATTTGGAGGTGTGTAACTTGTTCCATTAAAATGACTTATACTTTTGAATGAGAGTGATAAGTAATAATTGCCTTATCTAATTTCTTATCATGGTATTAATGCCAAGTTTGTAAATTTAAAAATAATTAATATTCTTAATAAAATGTAAAAAAAATAATTAGTGAGATATAGCTATAGACCTAACGTATAACTATTATTAAAAAAAAAAAATCAGCTAAAAATATTAACTGGATCAAAAGTTATTTAAGTTGTCAGTGAGTGCTGGGCCACCTTGTATATTATAAGTAAAAAAAAATAAATCATTAATCTTAAAAACTTATGCTTTTTTAAAAAAATCAAGTGTAAGCTAAAATATATGATATTATGGGAATATTAATAAATATTTAAATTAAATATCTTTTCAATGTTTTTTATTTACGTTTTCAACAATTGTAACTTTGATATATTATCGTAAATGTAAAATTATATATTGTAGTTATCTTAAAATTACCTTTTTATAAAACAAAATAGGTGTTTAATAATAATAGTAATTTATGGGCTTATTTTTACTTACAAAAGACAAAATTATTTTAAATCTCAAATACATATTTTTTTTTCAATTGATTGCCCTAGAAAAAAGAAAATTTAATTTTTATATTTTTAATAATTATTAATACTATAGTTTCTTAAGAACTAATAAATACAAAAATATTAAGACACTATGACACAATTATAATAGCTTGGCTTTTATTAAGTGTTTCAAGCTACTCTACAGTATTATATCATAAATAATTAGATCATGATTTGATATGACCGAAAATTTAATTATAAAATATTTATAATTGTTGTGAAACTAACAATTTAGGTATTCTTGAAAATATGTATAAATGAAGGTTGATCGTCAAATACTTTTCAATTATTTTTTTTTATCAAACTAAATATAATAATTAATAAAATAATACAATTTTATATTATGATAAAATTATATATATATATATATATATTAATATAATTAAAAATTAGAAACAAATCAGCAAACCTATGTAAATCACGTGTTAACTTAATTTTAATAGTAAAATTTTGAACGTTTTTAGTTTTAATTTTTAATATTATAATATTAGATAAAAAAAAAAAAATAACATATAGTTTTAATATAAACTGTAATTTAAGCAATAACATTACATTTTTTTACGTAAAATGTCTTTGTAGATCAATTTTTAGATTATATTTTGAATTACATTTGACAATTATAACTCACAAATTTCTAGTAAACTTTACATTTAGTTTAATTTTAGTGTATAATGGGAAAATCAAAGAACAAATTTCATCATAAAATGATTATGACAGAAAAAAAATATTATTGGTCAAAAGCTTCCATTAAAAGGTTCTGTTTTAGCTAATTTATTATATTTTCAAAGTGTGGCCAGAAAACTAATATCAATTCGTCAACATCTTTATACAAAGCCGTTAATACAGGTGTGATCGTAAAATGACTCATAACCCATAAATGTAAAATCGTTTCACAAATAAAATATCTTTATTAGAAGTGAATTAAGTCAAACAAAAAAAAATACTTCTGTTCAAAATAGTCATTAAATTCTGTCTTTGATATTTCAATCGCTAATTCTTTAGAAATCAACTGTTTTAACAAAGAAAGTAAATTATTTATTTCTAAACCAATCTATAGTACTAATATTTCAGAATATAGTAAAATTATAGTTAGAACTACCTAATCGACTTGAAATATAAATAATAGTAATTTTAAAAAACTTGAACTGAAAACACTACAATAATTATATAAATTAATCAAATTACATCTATATAAATAAAAGGTTTATAAAAAAAAAAAATTGAAAAGTATTTGATGATCAAGAGTCAACTATAAATATTTTCAAAACAATCATATATTTTAGCCTACACTTTATTTTTTAAAAAAAGTATATAATTTTTAGATTACTGAATAATTTTTTTTACTTATAATATACATAAAAAAACCCAGCACAGTGGGGTCATGGCATAGTGGGGACATTGCATAGTTGGGTCCAGTATAGATTTAATCTGACAGTGATTAAAATCACTATCATAAGAAACGCTTCGATGCAAATCTGTAGATAGTGTTTAATTCTAAGAAATTGGTGGATAATTACAAAAGCTACATGATCTGCTAGTTCCTTATTAATACCCTGATTAAGATAAAGTATATCGAATGAAAAAGGGATTATTAAAAAATATTATTTCTTATAAAAAAATTGTGTTGATTCATACACTTTTCAATGAGTTATAGCATTATAAAGTTAAAAATGTAACCAACCCAACCCAACATCAACTCCTATTTCCTTAATTATATCCAGATTAGTAATTCTTTTAATTATATATTATATAATTTTTATAATTAATTATTTTCAAATTATTATCGATTTTTAATATGTTAAAAGTAATCATTTTGAACCTACTTCTTTTTGTTCTTTAAAGTGAAAGTTTTAATAAAAAAAAAATGAATTTATTACCATAACTTTTAACTCAACTTGCAAGTTTGAAATAAATATTATTAAATAGAAAAAAATGAAATTGGTAGATTATTTCAAAAACAACAATAACACTTATTCCCTTAATTTTACCCCGATTTATAACTATAATATATGAATACATAATAATTACAGTAATTAAATTGAGTATGAAAGTGGTATTCAATAATATAATATTGTAATTTTTACGGAGATATTATAAAAATAAAAAGGAGTTGTATATTCATATACTTTTAATGCGTATACAAATTTAAAGGAATTTATGCAATACTTTTTAATAAAAAAATTTTGTTACTTATGAATAAATACACTAAACAAAAGGAACTTTCATCAGAAAAAAAATATACTTTTCTAAATAAACTTTTCGTGATGTTTTCAAATGTGCAATTAAACTTTTTCTATTACTTCTAAGTTTTAATATTATTACTTATTATTAAAAAATAAGTATTTACATTTAAAAAAAAAAAATTAAGAACAAATAAATTTTTATTAAATTATTACTGATTTTGATTTTTAATATGTTAAAGGTAATCATTTTGAACCTATTTTTTATTGTATTTTAAAGTGATAGTTTTAATGAAAAATACCTTCTCAGCTTCGCATCGAAGCTAGAAAATGAATTTGTTACCATAACTTATAGTTCAACTTGCAAGTTTGAAATTGACATTATTAAATTGAAAAAAATGAAATTTTTAAGATTAATATGCAATCTGGAAATTTTATAATTACTATTTACAGTACATTTATCAGAAAAATTCGATTTTTTTGCATTTTTATCGTAATAGATAACTGAAATAGAAAGAATAGTAATCATATCCTAATAACTTTTGGTGTTTAAAAAAATTCTGCAATTGAAATATTCAGAACTTNTTTTTAAAAAGATTCTGCAATTGAAATATTCAGAACTTAATTAATTTTAATAATTTACTTTAATTAAATGAACCAATCAAAACAAAGTAGTTAAAAANTGAACCAATCAAAACAAAGTAATTAAAAAGATTTACTCAATTGAGCGTATTATAAAATATAATTATTATTGTAAAAATTCATCGTTAAATTCAAGTGAAACTAAAAATCATTTTTTTTTTAAATTTATGATTTATATAGCAACATATTACAAAAAAAATTGGCATATTATAGACTGGTAGTAGCACACACAAATAGAGTTAAAAAATTAATAAATTATAAAGTAAAATTATTTACTTTTGTAGTTGAATACTTTTATCATATCAAATTTAATTCGACAATAAATAATTTAAGAATATTAAAAATTAATGATTTTAATTGTTTGTATGGACAAATCTAGTTAAGCTACTTTTTATTTGAATAAGGAATATTTTTTTGATTTTTAAGAGTAATAACTTAAACTAATCATTAACTTAAATATCATAAACTTAAATGAATCATTTGACGTATCGTTGAAAAAAGTAGGTCTAGTGAGGGTTGGCAAAATAAATCGTAGCCAGAAAAAGAACCACATAGTAAAATAATATTAACATGAATATCAATTTCTTCTCACGAGGGGAGACTATAGTGATAAGATCCTTTATATTTATTGAAATTATTGAATCTAAATGAGATAAATATCAAATGATTTGAAAATTCTATTCTAACTCAAAAAAAAAATGCAAAGTTTTAGATGCCACTGACGGATCTGAGCCTCGTACCCTAGGCGTAAAAGATCAAGGTGTTACCCATTCGGCAACTATTCGTTGCTTTTTGTCGCATGATAAAATTGGCTATTTAAGCTAATTGAAATTTAAAAATTACTTTTTCNTTGCATGATAAAATTGGCTATTTAAGCTAACTCAAATTTAAAAATTACTTTTTCGACTTTAAAAAAGTAAAAAATGTTAATAAGTATAATATCATATGTCTTATGAACTTTATTCTATGTCAATGAAATTATATAATATTCATGAAAGTCAGTTTATTCCCCTAATAAAATATTTTAAAATAAAATAAAATACAAAACCTAGAATTTTAATAAAAAATAGCATATTTTTAAATACGGTTGGGTTTTGCGCATAGAAGATAGGTCATCGGGACAAATTTTTTTTTTTCATTTAGTAGTACATAAAATAAGCTTTCATTTGATATATGTTTAAAGGACGCAGTATTTCCGGAACATTTTCAAAAGTTCAGTTGAAAAAGTTCTATTTTTTATACAATGTTTCAAAGTTTGAACCCCCCCTATATAAGGGGAAATTGTCTAATTTTAATAAAAAGTATGTCAAATGGAAGATGTACTTATAATGTATTTAGAAAAAAAAAAATTGTGCTGATACATGCATTTTTCGAAAAGTTATAGCATTTTTAAGTTGAAAATTAAAAATCGAAAATAGAAAATTTTAACACAGAAATAGTGTTTTTTTAACTACCTCAACCGTTTACATGCAGAAGATAAAGTGTCGGGACAAATTTTTTTTTTCATTTTATAGTACATAAAATAAGCTTTAATTTGATATATGATTAAAGGACGCAGTATTTCCAGAACATTTTCAAAAGTTCAGTTGAAAAAGTTAGTTTTTGTAAAAAAGTTGCAATTTTAAATCCCCCCCCATGAGCAGGTTAAGTGTTAAATTTTCAAAAAAATTATATCAAATGAAAGGAAAATATCTAAGGTTTTAGTTTAAAAAAAAATTATGTTGATTTGTTGATTTTTGAAAAAGTTATGGAAGTTTTAAGAAAAAAAAGTGAAAAAAATGACAAAATTTGTCGATTTTTAAATTTGTAATTTTTTTGGATATTTCCCCCATTTGCGGGGAACGAGGGAAAATTTTTAAATTTTTAAGGGTAATGTCTTCAACTAGATACAATTTGTGATCTTTTGACGTATTGTTAAAAGAAATCGGTCCAGTGAGAGCTGAGAAAAAGTAGNTTTTTAAATTTTTAAGGGTAATGTCTTCAACTAGATACGATTTGTGATCTTTTGACGTATTGTTGAAATAAATCGGTCCAGTTAGAGCTGAGAAAAAGTAGTGACAGACACAAAACAAAAAAAAAAAAAATAAACACATCATGGTAAAATTAATACCTTCTCAGCTTCGCATCGAAGCTAATATCAATCAAATTGTATGAAAAAAATTTTTTTTTACAATTTTAAGCTTACTTGAGACCTATTAAAAATATAATGACATTAAATATGATATCCACGCTATCATGTTTTGTCTTAAAATTTTGAAACTAAAAAAATTTTATTCTATATTAAAATTCAAACTATTTTGATGATATACTAATCATACTATATGACCAAAAATTAAATAACAGAGGCAGTATTTTATTTTTTTGGGTGTTTTTGGTCAAAATACTAAAAACACGTTGAGCGACCAATAAAAATTATTTTACAAATCTTAAATCTTCAGAAAGTTCCTATTTTAATGTATAAAATAAAGTTAAAGTGGTACTCATTAAAATTTCGAAGATCGACTTTTTTTGGTCAACCCTAATATATATATTTTTTTTATAATTAAAGTAGTATTCATTATTGTTAAAAGAAAAACTGTAATTCAATAAATTTTTGTAAAAAGATCATTATTTAATAAAATAATTAAAAGTAATATTCTTATAAGCCTCACTGAATATATTAAAAAGTTGATTTTTTGAAGCTTTTTTTAAACCACGTCAACAGCTTTTTTTCAACATTAAAATTGATATCTTGGAAAACTTCTGATTTCTAAATAAACATATAAAAATTAAATAGTAATTACATTTTCTTTTTATTAATACATTTTTTACTCAAGTAGGAATGAATGATGAGTACATTTGTTTTTATTTTATAACAACTTTTGATTTAGTTGGATGTTTTGAAAAAAAATATATTTATATCTATATTATACAGTTCTATCAACTAATTTTGTATTTATATTTTCTAGAAACTAAGGAAAATATTTAATTTTTTTAGAAAAATATTATGTGACATAAAAAACTTTACAATAGTATATATTTAAATTATTTTGTTTTTATCAATTTGATGTTTAAAAGCCATAGTTTCAATTTCTTTTAATGAAATCCCTATTTTTAATTTATTTTATGATACACACAATAAAAATACAAATAATTTTATACTTATCATTGTTTTAATTCAATAAATCGTCTAAAATTTAGTAGTTTTAAATCAATTTACTAATATTGCTTCATCATTAAGAATTACAGAAGCTTTCATTTTTCAATTTTCAATTTTGGATCATATATATTTGCTTTTATTGACTAAGGTACTATCCAATATATGAAAATTATATTTTATGTCAAGTAATCATGTCTATTAATAGTCGAAATCTTATCTCAACACAATTTTACTCTCATAAATTATTGCTCAATAGTGTCGTAAATTCTTAATCATTACTATTATAAAAAATAATTTATGCCCTATTGAAATAGATAATGATAAGTAATTACTGTAAATCCAAGTATTATAAATTTTTAATGTTATATTATCAATTAAATCAAGAAATTCCTGTTTAAGAAAATTTAATTCAAGGTTTTTATCCCTAGTTGAAAACAAAACGATTGAACTATATATTACTGTAGAGTGTTTTGACTTAAATAGCTTTTGTCTTTTAAAAATTAACAAAGGTCAATAGCTTCTAAGAAAATTATTATCCTTCATAGTATAAATTATTCTATATATTTGTTAATAAACAATAAACTAATTAAAATTGGTTATAATAGATTTTTTTAATTATTTCTTTTTTTTTCTAATAATGATTTATAAGAATCTTTCAAATAATGTCTAAAAATTTAAAAATAAAATATACAGATAGATTTGCAACGTATCGTTCAATTATTTTTTATAATAATTGGTTAAATGATAAAATTAGAAGATAGACCAATAAATCAAATAAATTGGGTCCAAATTAAAATAAATTTTAAATAAATCTCTTTCACTCTACCCTGTACTCAGTATTTCATAAAAAAAAAGTTATATCTTAAATAAATACATGACAATATTTAATTTCTTACTAATTTTTTGTCCTCATTCAGATCGATTTCATCCATTTCATCAATTTCGTCTAAATAAATCTATATCAAATTTCTAATTTAGATTTTTATTACTTATTTACAGTTGCAGTATTATTCAAATGAATAGGATTACATTATATTTAAAAGAGACCCACAGCGGTTTCAATAAACCAAAGTATTAAATAGCCTTAACTATGACATAAAATCATTTAAAAAATTGATTTTTATACCTAATTATTAATTATAGATCTTTCTTACTACTAAAAAATTATTTGAATGCGATAATTCTATACGTACTTTTTCTTTTTGAATAACACCAGATAATTTTGAACCAAACTATAAAATATAGTTACCATAATTAACAACCAATTTTTTATAATCATATTTATTATTAATTATTTATTTTATTTTTATTTTCATCGTATAAAAATAATTATAGAATCTATTTAACTTTCAAAAAATACTTCAACAAATTATATTTCTTTATCAATAAACTTGATATTTATCATGGCTCATAAAAATAATAAAAAATGCTATTCAGCTCATTTTTATGAAAAAATTGGGAATGTTATACTTAATAAATTGTTCTTTATAAATTTTATAATTCTTCTTCTTCTTTTTCCTCGCTTAAATCCCAACTACTTAGCCACCTTAAACTTCCACTCGAAACAATCTCCCACGTCAACTGTTCTCATATCACATTCAATAACATCCCTTCATCTCTTTTTTGTTCTTTTTTTACCTCTTCTTCTTTCAAAATTCATTTCTATAACTGTCTTACAGCTTCCAAATCCTCTCTTCTTATAACATGACAAAAACCATCTAAGCATTCTCATCTTTGTTACACTCATTCTCTGCTCTACTTTCTTGTCACTCGCGAAACACTATGAATCATACATCATAGCTGGTCTCATTACAGTCTTATAGAACTTACCTTTCAGTCTCATTTAACACTATATCGTCAGTGAATAACATGCACCATGTCACTTTTCCTTGTATTTCTCTAGTAATTTCATCTATTACTATAGAAAATAAGTAAGGGCTTAAAGCAGAACCTTGGTGCATTCATACTCTTACCCTAAAAACTTCTGTTTTATAATTAATGTATAAAATTGTTATCATTAAATTGCATTTTTTAAATTTATTAAATTTGTCTTTTTTTGAGAGCTTTTGATTTTAGTTAACAAAGTTATAACCTGCAGCTCTAGGGTATTCTGATAACATCTAATGTTTGCAATATTTTCAATTTAGAAAAGTAATTTTTGATTACGATAATTTTTTTGGAGAAAAAATGTTTATGTTATAAGCTTATATATTATTGTTTTAAAAATTTTTTTTTAAACATTCAGTATTACAAGATTTTAATAATAAACTAACATACTTAGTATAAAAGAAAAATGTTATTATTTTTTAATAGAGACATATAAATAATACGTTATTGAAATAGTCCAAAACTGTAAAAAATATTTACGCAAAATATTTGTCATCTAAATTTTTTATAGATGTAAAAACGTTGTGCGTAACTTTGTGAATTGAATATTCTATTTATACATTTTACTTTTTATTTGATTATTAAATAACTTACACAAGGGATTTTTCCTTCCCGAAATTGCTTGATAAGTTCATCTATAACCAAATCTTCTGATTTCTATATTATAGAAAATTAATTAATTGTCTGATATTTGTTGAAAAAAAATACATGAATGATATTTTTTTTATATAATTCACAACGATAAAATTTTTAAATCATCATAAACTAGATAATATTAAAATTATATAAATAATAGAAAGAAAAAACCACTTATATTAAAAATTATTTGACTAAAAAATGTTATTTTTTTACAGAAAAAATAACATTATCATAAGTAGAAACTAAATAAATTAACGAGATAATTTTTAAAGAAGAAAAATCTTTTTAATAACTTTTTAAAATCAAATTTTTAATAACTCAATATTTTACTATAGAAAATTATTGTTGACAAGAGTAAAGACACTCTTTATGACAAGCACCCCAACTATATCCAAAAATGTATTTTTCAAGTAAATAATGATGGATTTACATGTATATCACAAAGTAATTTGATATTTTGTGGTATTTAGAGATGATCAAAGAATAAATAGATGATAATAATTCAGAAACATATATGATAGTTTAGAATTTTATTTGTAAAAATATATTTATTTTAATTATTACCTTAGTGTTATTTTCTTTTGTTGGCACAGGTTGAACTTTTAATTTATTATCTTTTGCAAAAAGATTAATATGATATTTATCAACACATTTATCTACTTTATTTAAACAGGTATCTGCATGATCACTTAAATCTAATTTTTTTTCTAAAATTACACCACACAATTTTTTTCCTATATTTTCTTTTTCTTTTTGAAGATCAAAATGTTCATCTAATATTTTAACACAAAAATGAAGTATTAAAATATCTAATTCATGTTTTATTTCCTGTGCTGTATCATCTATTAAGAAAAGAGTAATTTTTAACATTTTGATTGGGAAACAGATTTAAAAAAAATGTTAGTATCTATTTTATTACTATTTAACTTACTATAAATAGAATTTTTGTATGGCTTATCATCCTCCAAACAGTCATAAAACATAGATACTGCATAATTTTTATTTAAATTAATTAATTCCTGTAGTTCATTGTTTGTATTGTGTAAAACACCATATTTAATAAAAATAGTTACCTAAAAAATATAAAAATACGTTATTTATATCAATATATGAGTATAGAGATTAAAATGTATACAAAATTATTCACTATGTTCAATAAGTAAAGAAACAGGTAAACTATTACAAATAATAAGATAAATTGAATCCCGTTTTTTACTTATTATACACTTTAAATAATTATAAATGTATACAATGTGAATAAAAATTGTCTTAAATCTAACTATAATCGTTAATAAGTTTTTATGGAACTTGTATTTTGTTGTTTTTTTACTTCGATACGAAGCTAAAAATGTCTTAATTTTACTAAGATGTTTATTTTTTTTGTTTTTATTTTTGTAACTGTTACCACTTTTTCTCAGCTCTCACCGAACCGATCGCTTTCAACGATACGTCAAAAAATCACACATTGTATCTAGTCAAAGACACATTACTTTTAAAAATTGAAAAAAATTTCTCTCATTCCCCGTAAATGAGGGAAATCTCAAAAAATATTACAAATTTAAAAATCGCAAATTTTCGAAATTTTATAATTTTTTTTTTTTTGCTTGAAACTGCTATAACTTTTTCAAAAATGAGCAAATCAATACTAAACTTTTCAAAATCTTCTGGAAAGTCTGACACATTTATATATATCTTAAATTAAAGCTGATTTTATATACTTTATTATGAAAGAAAAAACCCAGCACAGGGGGGTCGTGGCACAGTAGTAACGTGGCGTAGTTGGATCAAGTATTATGATATCTGACAGTGATTAAAATCACTATCATAAAAAACGCTTCGATGCAAATCTTTAGATAGTGTTTAATTTTAAAGAATTGGTGGATTATTCCAAAAGTAACATAATCTGCTAGTTCGTTATTAATATCCTGATTCAGATAAAGTATGTCGAATGAAAAAGGAACTATTAAAAAATATTATTTCTCATCAAAAAATAATGTTGATCCATACATTTTCAATAAGTTATAGCATTATAAAGTTAAAGATAAAAAAATAAAATCGTGAATTTTCACACAAAAATAGCATTCGGTAGCCAATTTCACCCTGAAGACAAATAAAGTCCGAAATTTTTTTTTCCATAGTAAAGTTCATTACATTAACTTTAATTAAAGATATATATAAAAGTGTCAGAATTTTAAAATTTAAGTTGAAAAAGCGAATTTTTTGTGAAAAAGTAGTCATTTTGAATCCCCTGCTGTAGATAGGTAAAGATATCATGCATTTATAAAAAAAAGAATTATATTGATCCATACATCTTTCAAAAAGTTATAGCATTATAAAGTTAAAAATATAAAAAAGTATTTTTTTACAAAAATTGTATTTTTTTATCAACTTTGATGTCTGTTGTTACCATGAAGATAAAATAAAGTCCGAAATTTTTTTTTCTATAATAAAGTATATTACATTATTAATTTAAAATATATATAAAAGTGTCAGACTTTCCGGATCATTTTCAAAAGTCAAGTTGAAAAAATTAATTTTTTGTGAAAAAGTTGTTATTTTAAATCCCCTCCTGTGGGCAGGAAAAGGGTCAGATATAAAAAACAAATACACCAAATGAAAGGTAATAATATCATGCATCTATATAAAAAAAATGTATATTTATTTGGTTATTTTTGAAAATGTTATAGAAATTTTAAGTAAAAAAAATTGAAAAAATTTCGAATATTAGCGATTTTTAAATTTGTAATTTTTTTTGGAGGTATCCCCCATTTATGGAAAATGAGGGATTTTTTTTTCAATTTTTGAGGTAAAACTTCGACTAGATACGATTTGTGATCTTTTGACGTATCATTGAAAGAAATCGTTTCGGTGAGAGCCGAGAAAAAGTGGTAACAGACACAAAAAACAAAAAAAACCCAGCACAGGAGGTCGCGGCACAGTGGTGACGTGGTATAGATGGATCAAGTATAATGATATCGCATCGAAGCTAAAAAAAAACACATCTTAGTAAAATAATACCTTCTCAGCTTCGCATCGAAGCTAAAAATTTCGGAATTCATTTTGTCTTCACGGTGAAAACAGACATTTAAGTTAATAAAAAAAATACAAATTTTGTAAAATAATTCTTTTTAAAATTTTTAACTTTATAATGCTATAACTTTTTGGAAAATAAACAAATCAATACAATTTTTTTTTGTAGATGCTTGATGGCTTTACCTATCATTTGATATATTTTTTATTTATCTGACCCTTTACCTGCCCACAGAAGGGGATTTAAAATGACAACTTTTTCAAAAAAATTAACTTTTTCAACTTAACTTTTGAAAGTGTTCCGGAATGTCTGACACTTTTATATATATCTTAAATTAAAGCTAATGTAATATACTTTATAATGGTAAAAAAAAATGTCGGACTTTATTTTATCTTCATGGTGAAAACAGACATTAAACTTAATAAAAAAAATACGATTTTTGTAAAAAAATTCTTTTTTATATTTTTAACTTTATAATGCTATAACTTCTCGAAAGATGTATGGATCAATATAATTCTTTTTTTTGTAGATGCATGATGTCTTTACCTATCATTTGGTATATTTTTTTTATAAATCTGACTTTTTACCTGCCTACAGGGGGGGATTCAAAATGACAACTTTTTCACAAAAAATTGACTTTTTCAACTTAAATTTTGAAAGTGTTCCGGAAAGTCTGACACTTTTATATATATCTTAAATTAAAGCTAATGTAATATACTTTATAATGGTAAAAAAAATTTCGGACTTTATTTTATCTTCAAGGTGAAAATGGCTACCAAATGCTATTATTGTGTGAAAATTCTCAATTTTATTTTTTACATATTTGAACTTTATAATGCTATAACTTATTGAAAAGTATATTGATCAATATAATTTTTTTTGGGAAATACTATTTTTTAATAATCCTTTTTTCATTCGAACCAGCAGATCATGTAGCTTTTGGAATAAAACATCAATTTTTTTAAAATTTAACACTATCTAAAGATATGCATCGAAGCGTTTTTTATGATAGTGATTTTAATCACTGTCAGATATCATTATACCTGATCCAACTATGCCACGTCACCACTGTGCCGCGACCCCCCTGTGCTGAGTTTTTAACTTTATTATGCTATTACTTTTTGAAAAATGTATGGATCAATACAATTTTTTCAGGACAAGTAGTATTTATATACATATTTTATTCGAAATACTATATCTTAATAAGGATATTAATAAGGATCTAAAGATTTGCGTCAAAGGGTTTTTTTTTTATAGTAATTTTAATTACTGTCAGATATCATTATACTTGAACCAACTATGCCACGTCACAACTGTTCGTCAACCTCCTGTGCTGGGTTGTTTTTATGTAATCATCTAGTATAAAATAGAATTGATTTTAAGAAATTAATTGATTAGCATAATAATGCGTATTTTATTATTTAGATATGTTACGTGTAAATTATATTGTAAAATTTTTCCATTATAATTTAAAATAATTTTAAAGATCATAAATAGTACTTACCAAGACGTAAATTATTGGTAAAATTTTGTTTTCCATCGTTAATTTATTTAAATCCAAATAATATAAAATTATATTACAATACTTTGTGTTTAAAAGATTGTGTAAACACGTATTTTAGCTGACAATTTAAGTCTAATTTAAATATAATATACAAATGAATAGTCAAAATAATCAAAAATAAATTAAAATTTTATCCTATTAAATTTATTTGTATCAATATATTAGTAATACTATATAAATACAGCATTTAATATTGAAAAAATATTGATATTTTTCAGTAAAATAAATTTGAAAAAAGTCATATTTAAAGTAATATTTTTTTTATTGTTTTGATGAATACTGTATTACATAATTGTAGTAAAAAAAATGGAAGCACAGTAGGTCACGGTACTGTATGGACGTGTCTAGTTGTGCAATTGTATATAATATATAACAGTAATTAAAATCACTATCACAAGAAATAATTCGATACAAATCTATAGATAATATACAATTATAAGAAATTGGTAGATAAATAGAAAAGCGACATCAACTTATATTTCATTTATTAATTTATTCCAATTTTGATTCTCTACTGTATAAGTCTATTTTAAAAGTATGTCTAGTGAAATGAAAAACATAAAGTAATTCACGAAAAAAGATATTTACATTTGAAAAATACATTTCTCAAAAACTTCGAAAATTTCGAAAATTTTAAAACTAAAATTACATGTATTTTAACCACACGTCAATCATTTGAAAAATGAAAATATGTAGTCAGTACAAATTTTTTTTTTGAACTCCTAGTATAAAACAACCTTTATTTTAATATATATTTGAAGTTTGAAGTATTTCTAAAACATTTTTAAAATATTAGTTAAATTTTTGTGCATAAATTGAAATTTGAATCCCCACCTGTCGACAGATCAAGAGTAAAATTTTTATAAAATTATTACAAAATAAAATGAATATACCAAAGATAACTATATAAAAAAAATTTTTGGTCCGTTCATTTTAAAAAAAGTTATAGCAAATTTGAGAAGAAAAAAGTCAAAATTTACCAACTTTAAAATTTAAAATTTCCCCTATTAACATAGAACGAGAGACCTTTTTTTAATTTCAAGGAAAATGTCTTCAACTTGATTCGAATTGTCATATTTTTACGTATCGTTGAATACAATTTATCTGGTGAAAGCTAAGAAAAAGTGATCCTAATCGTATAAAATACATAGTAGTAAAACACAGTAAAAATTCATATGATATTTAATATCCTCTCAGCTTCACATTGAAGATAATAATATAATTTTTTTATTAGTAAAATTAAATCTGTTAAAAAATATGAGATAAAATATAATTGTACAGTAAATTTTTCTTTTTATGTATTATTATTTTCTATTAGATTAAATGAATTAAAAGATGAAAAACTACAACAATTTTTTGAAACATTATATTTCATATTAAACTTTGTATTTTTATAAATGTTCAAATATTAAATTAAATTATTATTGAAATAATTGACAAAAATAAATTTCTTTTTTTAAAAATTACAATTCTATATAAAATTTATTATTATTATTATAATGTTCAATATTTTTTATAATATGTTTATTTACATCAATATAAGACACAGATGTCTTTATATTATACTCTTCAAACAACCTTTCTAAATAATTTATATAAAATTTGATTTTACTAACATTTTTCATTAATATTTCCCAAATAATTTTTGAATTTGCATTATCTAGTTTGCTATTGTAATCTAAATGAACAAATTTTGGTGACCGCAATTTCATAATTTTTTCAATATCAGAAATTGCTTTATCAAGTGTCAAATTTACACCATTTTCAATCTGTGGCTTTTTAGCGGAATTTTTTAAAACTTTTATCACTTTATTGAAGTTAAAACTAAATAGTGTTTTAAAGAAATCATTATTTAAAATCCATTTATTCATATCATTAATTCCTACATCAACATTTCTTAAAAATGAATTCTTTAATTTCCAATATTTAAATGCATAAATAAAGTGCTTTCTTATAAAATGTAATGCTACTGTTCTTATCACGTTTAACATTTGTTCTTGATATTTTTCTACCTGAATCATCCAACGATCTATATAATAACAATTCCTCGCTTCATCATAACTTGCATAAAGTTCATTGTATATTTCGTAAAAAACTTCTTCGCTTTGATTACCAAATTTTATAATGATTTGTCTCAAGGTATCTATCTCGCTTATGAATTTATGTAAATAAATACTATTTAAGGAAACCCAATTTTTTTCTGTATCATTTTCCAATAGAATATCATCGTTATGTTGTTGTATTTGGCTTATTAATATTTCAATATCTTGCAAATTATTATTATTGTCAGGATTCACTATCATACCATAAGTATTATCTCTTCTACAATATGCATTAATATGACGCTCTAAATTGATTATGATATTATATTTTATTGAAGAATTATCATCCATATCAATTGAATTTTCACGGAAAATTGAACTATGCAACAAATACATATGTACATACCAGAATGGACTACCATATAACGTCCAATTCATTTTGAAAAGTGAAGCTAACATATGGCTGGTAACTTTTTCACTTAAAAGACATTTATTGATATCTTTACAGCTTTTTAAATAATTACAAAGTAAATGCATATTACCACAAACCAAGTCACAGTATATTATATCAATTTTATTTTCCAACAAATTTTCTACTATAGTATTTTCAGTTATTTGTAGTTTCGTTTTTATAGCATTAAAATCTAATTTTTGTAACTCATCCAGAGAAGGGTATTTAAATCCAGTTTTCAATTTTACTGCTTTTTCAAGTTCTAAATGTTCACTCGGTATAATATTTGTAGAAAAACATGTATTAACTTGCATTGCACGACAAATAGTCGTAACTACAATACTGATAAAAAGATTAAAAATCATTTTTCACTACTTTTGTTTGCAATTTTTAAATAAATGCTAATTCTTGCAAAGTGAAAATATTTTAACTACTAGATTAATAGTGTGTATAGATTTTTATAAGTTTATTTTCCATAAAAGTAGGTTATGACAATATATTTAAATTTTTATAAATTTATGTTAATCATTGTTAGAAACTATTTGTATAGTATACTTATTATTTTGAAAAATAGTCTAAATCTAATAAAAAACTGAATCAATATTATTGCTGAACATAAAATTTAGTAGTTTAAAATTAAATGTATCATTTATCATTTTATCGACATTTTAGTGAATTTAAAAGAAAATAAAAAAAATATAGCACAATGGATACACAGCACAGTATGGACGTATTTAGTTGGGCAATTGTAGATGATATATGACAGTTATTAAAATCACTATCACAAGAAAAATTTGATACAATTCTATAGATAGTGTATAGTTCTGAGTAATTGGTAGATAATTAGAAAAGCGACATCAACTTATATTTCATTAATTATATCCTGATTAGTAGTTCTTTTATTTAAAAGTATAATATATACAAATAAATACTAATTATAATTATTAAATTTGGTAACCAATAGATATTCAATAATTTAATATTGTAATTCATACATAGAAATTATAAAAATAATAAAGTAATTATCTTACTTAATAATATATATCTTTACTTTTAACGTTTATAAAAAAGGCTTGTTGCATTAATATTTAGAAAATAAATTTAAATAAATTCGTCTAAACTGGTCTATGATTAATTTTTACGAGTGATTAAAAATTTTTAACCATAGAACCATAGAAAACCGCTTTCTTATTTATTGAACACCCTATATTATATTATATGAATATACAGAATATAGCTCTGAATATTTCAATTGTATCATCTATTTAAACACAAAATGTTTTGTAGAAATGATTAATATGATTTTTATTGAAATGAATTATTTCGATAGTGATACAAACAAATTTATGATAAATTTAAGTAAAAATAACAACTTAAAAAACAGTTATTTTTACAATTCAAATAATATTTTTTATCTACTTGTAGGTCGATTACATACAGAAGACAAGTTGGTGGGACAAATTTTTTTTCAACTTATAGTCTGTAACATAAGCTTTAATTTAAAATATATTTAATGTTCAAATAATTTCAGAGAATTTTTTAAAAGTTAAGTTGAAAAAGTTTTTACACGTATTTTCTAATTTTGATTCTCTCCCATATAAAAGAAAAAAGTCTATTATAAAAAAAAAGTATATCTAGTGAAAAAAATAAACATAAAATAATTCAAGAAAAAAAATTTACATTTGAAAAATAACTTTTTAAAAAAGTTCGAAAATTTCGAAAATTTGAAAACTAAAATTCCATGTATTTTAACCACACGTCAAACATTTGCAAAATGAAAATATGTCGTTAGTACAAATTTTTTTTTGAACTCCTTGTATAAAACAACCTTTATTTTAATATATATTTGAAGTTTGAAGTATTTCTAAAACATTTTTAAAATATTAGTTAAATTTTTGTGCATAAATTGAAATTTGAATCCTCACCTGTCGACAGATCAAGAGTAAAATTTTTATAAAATTATTACAAAATAAAATGAATATACCAAAAATAACTATATAAAAAAAATTTTTGGTCCGTTCATTTTAAAAAAAGTTATAGCAAATTTGAGAAAAAAAAGTCAAAATTTACCAACTTTAAAATTTAAAATTTCCCCTATTAACATAGAACGAGAGACCTTTTTTTAATTTTCAAGGAAAATGTCTTCAACTTGATACGAATTGTCATATTTTTACGTATCGTTGAATACAATTTATCTGGTGAGTGCTAAGAAAAAATGGTCCTAATCGTATAAAATACATAGTAATAAACACAGTAAAAATTCATACGATATTTAATATCCTCTTAGCTTCGCATTGAAGATAATAATATAATTATTTTATTAGTAAAATTAAGTCTGTTAAAAAATGTGAAGTGAAATATAATTATATAGTAAATTTTTCTTTTTATGTATTATTATTTTCTATTAGATTAAATGAATTAAAAGATGAAAAACTACAACAATTTTTTGAAACATTATATTTCATATTAAACTTTGTATTGTTATAAATGTTCAAATATTAAATAAAATTACTATTGAAATAATTGGCAAAAAATAATTTT